CACACACACACACAAGAAAAGAAGGCCTCCACCCAAACCACCACAAATTTGGGATGCACCTAGTAGCATGACATTTATTAGGAATAAAGACTTCTGAGTTCTGGTGCATTTCTGCATACGGGGGTCATTAAGTTACTGCTATGTGGTATCTAGTTTATTATTCTTTTTCCTCTGGAGATTTTTGGTCAACCGTAGCACAAAAACGGCTGCACCGATCAACATGGAATTTGGCTGTACTGTAGATGAGTCTGACCTACACTGCGCCAGCCAACGGTTTTACGATAGACCCCATATTTGAGGAGGGGGCTCCATCCAAAGAGGGGGTGTCTGCACATGCAAAATCGCTTATAACTCAGAAACTCTTCAACATAAAAGCTTCAGATTTATTTTGTTGTTTAGCTCTGATGAAGCTCTATCCATCAGGCCCACCAATCAGTGCCCCCACCCCCCCAGACCCCCAATTTATCTGAAAAAGTGGTGTATGGACATACAAAAACGGTTATTGCTCAAAAACTATTAAACATAGGAGCTTCAGAATTTCATTGGTTGTTTAGCTCTGATGAGGGGCTATCTTTCAGGTCAACCAATGCCACCCCCCCCCCCCCAAAAAAAAAAGATCTCGACCCAAGCCACTACAATTTTAGGATGCACAAAGTAGCATGACATTTATTAGGAATAAAGACTTCTGAGTTCTTGTGCATTTCTGCGTGCGGGGGTCATTATGTTACTGCTGTGCGGTGTCTAGTTGTATCATTTTTGATCTGAGTTTTTTTTACAGAATGAAATGTCTGAATGAGTGTTCATCCATGACTGGTGATTCCATACTTTTTGCCAAGGTTGTATATTAGGACAAAAATTTAGACACGCTGTGGCTGTTATGGTACAAAACTTTATCTGAAACACAGCCCACCTTCAGTCAGCTGCCTAAAGCACACAAATGATTCAGTCAGAAAACAATGAGTTTTCATCTGTCAAACAGAGACAAAGGGAACTTTTTACTATATTTATTGCAGAGAACGCAGACTATGCAGAACCAAATGTTGAAGACAAAATAATGCCAATCATCTTTAACTTCCTTTTCTTTGTACATACCTATTATATAACACCTTATCATCTTCCTCTCGGTGCATAAAACTGCTACAGAAGCTAAAGTTTCAAAGTATTTCGAGTTTGACCTTTTATTTTACACAGCAGAGAGAAAACAGACTCAGACAGCTCATAACTTGAAGAATTGAACCCTTTACTGCTGTTACTGCAGTCTCACACCTCACTCACCCCACACTCTCACTACTCACCCTACCCTACACTACAACAGTAGCTATCATCCTCCTAATGCATTTCAGTGGTCTGGTTCCAGAGGGGCTCATTGTTTGGTCCGGATCCAGACTTTGAGAATTGCTGACTGGCAACAATTTCACCAAACGTTCTATATATTATTTCAGCCCCGGTGGAATGAAGGAGCGGCCATGTTTTCTTCTTTCTATTTACTGTATCTATTCCTTACATACAGGGGTTTTTGTCAAATATAAAGATAATTTCTTTGCATATCCATGATAATTTTAAATTAAAATAACAAAATTTGGAAAATAAAATTTGGTGGTGCCCGGCAGTTTTTGCTTCAACAGAGCCTCAGAAATGAGCTCAATGTTGTCGATTTAGGTTTTGCTGAAGGTGCGTTTGATTTGTACATCACTGAGTGGGAAAACAAAATATCTCAGGACAACATACTGAATGTAAAAAAGCAATGTATTAATAAAAAAACAGATTAAGAACAGAAGGGCATCAAGAAAAGAGCTTCAATATCAAGTCTGTTGTTGCTCTCTCCTCTCTAAACATTACATTTACGCTTTTAGACATTTTTTAATTAAAAGTGGCTTAAAAAGAGGAAAACATTAGGAACTATGTGAAGTTTATTATGTCACCATTCTTCTCTTTATTACTATGATTAATTGGCAACCAGAGTCCTAAAACAAAGCAGGCTGAAGTACACAGATTTAAGTAAACAAAATATATTTCAGTTCACTGTAAAATGACAGAAAATCCAAAAAAAAGTGCAAGCAGCCCAAGAATTTGGATCTTTAGGAACTCTCAAACATCTTCTTCCTGTCAGCCTTGTCCTCAATGTTCTTACGCCAGTCGCCGACTGCCTCTGCGGGCTGCAGCACACAAACACATCATTGTCAGTGAAGGCGACACGCTCTCCTGCAAACAACACGGCTCCTCCTGACTGAACACTCACCTCCTCTTTGACCTCTTTCTTGACCTGCTTCAGGTTGGCTCTGAGGTCCATGTTGACTGTGTGCTTGGAGCCCAGCAGCGCTTTGAGCATGGCGTCGGCAGACATACGCACCTTCTTCAGAGCGGGCTTCTTCACTCCAGCCAGGTCCACCACTTTGATCTTCAGGTCCTCAATCTATGAGGGAACAAGCAGCACCCATTCATCAAACCAGGTGTGTTGGAGCAGAGAAAGATGCAAGACCTGCGGGATAGTGGGCCTCCAGGACCAGGACTGAACAGAGTTACAGGTTCAAATGCTAACAGTCAAGTGAAGCTAATTTAAAATGTTTCTTTCCAAGAACCTCAGGGAGTGAAAGCTGAAGCTGAGCTGGAACTGGCATCAGTTCGGAGATATACCTCTTTATCAGCCTTGCCCACTTTGGCCTCCAGGTCATACCGCTCTTCATCAATTTTCTCAATGAGGGCGTTCAACTTTTTGCAGGTTTCCTAATTAAACACAGATAATTGACATTTTACTTTCTGAAAACAAGACTTGATGGAGAACCCACTCCAAATAAACCTTCAACAAATACAAAGACATCATCTACATAAAAGGGTTGTTCTAGAAAAGAACTACTTTGGCTGGAATTACTTCACTTCTACAAAACTTAAACCTGGTTTAGTTTAAAGTGAAGGCATTAATACAAACAAAACAATGACAACAACAGAAACAAATCCTCAGGGTTTTGAAGAGTTCAGTTTTTTTTACCATCAGGTCTCCGCTCATGTCTGGTGGAGGACATTTCTCAGCCAAGTAGGCCTCTTTGGCTGCAACAATGTCTTTTTTTTCCTGTTCAAGCCAGGTTGCAGCAATCGACAGAATCAAACTCTGAGGGGAAGATGAAAGGTTCAGTTTTTCAACATGTTTAAACTCTAAACAGGAATTAAAACAAATTAATTGACTGATTAACAATGTACAGATGGATCTAAAATTGTCAACACTCATCTCTCTTAGATCCTTCTTGTCGATCCTCACTGACACCATTAAAAAGAAGTTTGATTTGTGCCAATGTTTTCTAGTCACTACTTGTACGCTGTAGTTGTTAGTGTTGATCTCTCATCTGACTTCTTATTTTTGAGTTTTTATTATTTTGTTTGATTTTGTAATCGAAAGTGTTTGACTAATGTCACATTATTCACTTTTAAGAAATGAAAATCATCATGTCGTAAATTGATAATTACTTTGGTCTGTACGTCTAAACAACTGAATGTCTACATCTGTTTATAACAACTTGTATTTTGAATTGTTGTACTTTAAACGCAATGTAAATTTTAACTCTGATATACTCTGTGACGTGTCGTGCCGACCTCTTGACCAGGTCACCTTTGTAAAAGAGATCCTGATCTGAATGGGTTTTCTACCTGTTAAATAAAGGTTATTGACTGATTGATTGATTAATTGATTGATTGATTGATTGATTGATTGATTTATTGATTGATTGATTGATAATATTGTTTCAAACTTCATGAGCAAAGTGATTTAAAAATGTTTCACTTTATGGTAGAGCAGAAGTAAGTCAGTCTGAAAATGTGTAAACCTAAACTAAAAAATAATTTCATGAGTCTTTTAAAAGAGCTCATACAGACTAATGTTCTGCTTTTATCAAAACCATGTTAAGAAGCTCTATCTGTAATGTTACCATTTAAAACTAATGCACAGCTTATTTTAAAAAAGAAAGAAAATATTGTGTGAACAAAATCTGTATTAGTCCAACATGCTAGATGAGTGAAAGAGGCTCTTCCTGAACTCTTCCAGCGTCAGTTACAAATCTGCAATATCTGCATTAAACTCTGATAACTTGATATTCCTCCAGTCAAAGACTGAATGCCAAATATAAAGTCCAAGCAGTAACTTTACCCCCCACCCCCCTCCACACAGAGCAGCTGCTGCTCTGCTCACACCCAGCACCTGTGCCCTTTGAAAAGTGATCTTTAAAGATAAGTAAGAACAAGTTTAATTTAAAGTCTAACATTATTTGATAGGGCTGGATGGACAAATTCACCATCATGTTGTTCAACTATAAAAAAAAACAATACCTAAACCTAGATGTGTCAAAAAAAAGAACAAAGTCCGTAATTTTATCAAACATTTTAGTTCAAGGCTGAAAATCAAACAAAAGCATCATAACTAGGCTGATGGGTCTGTGTGCCTCATGTTACCTGAGACTGAGCTTATCATCTGCTGCTGCTCCTCAGACTCAGTCTCTGTTACCTTGGTGACCTAACCATCCTCAGACTTAGTCTAAAGTTAATCTGGAATGAATATCCAGAACGGTGCAGGTAATTTAAGAGTTTTTCCATCACCTGCTTTGTTTAACAAGTTGAGCAGAGTGTGATAGTCTGCACTGCACTTTATGCTCTCTAATAGAGAGACGTCCATCTGATTTCTTCCTCTTATCTGGGGTCAGGTCTCGGGGGCAGCAGCCTAAGCAGAGAGACCCAGACTTCCCTCTCCTCAGCCACTTGGACCAGCTCCTCTGGGGGGAATCCAGGCCAGCTGAGAAACATTGTCTCTCCAGCGTCTCCTGGGTCATCCTCTGGGTCTCCTCCCAGAGGGATGTGCCTGGAACACCTCACCAGGGAGGTGTTCAGGAGGCATCCTAACCAGATGAACCACCTCAACTGGCTCCTCTCGACGTGGAGGAGCAGCGGCTCTACTCTGAGTCCCTCCTGGATGACTGAACTTCTATCTCTAAGGGAGAGCCCAGACACCCTGCGAAGGAAACTCATTTTGAGCTCTTGAATCTGTGATCTTGTGCTTTCAGTCACTACCCAAAGTTTGTGACCATAGATGAGGGTAGGAATGTAGACCAACCGGTAAACCGAGAACTTCACCTCAGCTCTCGCTGAGACCCACAACAGACCGGTACAGCGCCCGCATCACTGCAGACGCAGCACCAATCCACCTGTCCATCTCCTCCATTCTTCCCTCATTCATGAACAAGACCCTGAGATACTTAAACTCCTCCACTTGGGGTAGGACCTCCTCCCCGACCAGGAGAAGCACCCTATCGGTTTCCAGCTCTTGACCATGGTCTTGGATTTAGAGGCACTGATCCTCATCCTGGCTGCTTTACGCTCAAGAGAGCTGGTAATTAAAACACACAGAGAGTCTCTATGTGTTTTAATTATCAGGTGAGAACCTGTATTTTCTTTAAATTGTCTAAATAACAAATGAGGTTGTTTTATTATTTTAAGCTCATTTGAGACAAACATTCCTTCGTGTTTTTTGAGCACCGCAGGAGAGACGCTCTTCAGCTAGAAAAAAGGAACCGAGTAATTTTTAGACAAAGTAAATTGTATTGATTTATTCTTTGCTTTTCCCTGATATTTACACAAGTACCTTTACTTGTACTTCCACAAAGTAACTGTTCTTTTAGTTAGTTATTTCTTTAAGTACTCTTCCCTTCTCTGCTGTTGAAACATCCTGATTGTGATATGTGTGTGTGTGTGTGTGTGTGTGTGTGTGTGTGTGTGTGTG